AGTATTAGAAAAAAATGATTATAGTTTAGTTTTAAAAATATCTTTTTTAATAGTATTACTTTTTGTATATAAATAATAATTGATATTTTTAAAAAACAATTATTTTTGAAATCTCTATAAAATTTATTTAAGACTCAAGTTGATATAATTTTGAAAGTAAACAAATTGAACAATAGTATTCCAGAAACAGAACAGCTTTCATAATAATTGATTTGCATAATCTAGGCATTTAAGAGATGTTTTGTTAATGTATAGTCTCCTCCAAGAAGCTCCTCCAAGCAGTTCTGCCAAATAGCCCCACATTGTGAGCTCAATGTTAAACAGTTGCTTCAATAATGAGTATACCTATATTTTTTTTCTAGTTCACAGACGTCACAGAATAAGTTGAATTTTATTTTTGTTGTATTAATTTAACTTTTGTTGTTGTTGGTTTTCTACCACAACCAAGCAAAATTCTGAAACAAAGGAAGTCAAAAAAATGTTCTTTGCTTACCTTGATGTTTATGATGGTCCAGAAATGACAGTCTTCAAGTTTGAATGTTGAATATTGGGTAATTTTCAAAAGCTTCTGAGCAATGGCAGATTTTGTCTTTATATATGTTTTGGAAGCAAAGAGCCAGTGATCATTTCTTTAGTAAGGAACCAGGTATGCCATCTAATCAAAGACAAAGTATTAACAAAATAGCATTCTTCTTCGTTGTCAACCTTAAAGCAAAAGCTCTTCTACTTATGTTACTTTTTTTTTCCCACTTGTTGGCTTTAGAAAACTAAAAAATCAGGTATCTTTTCCAAGCAACAACTTCCATACTTCTTTGATAATGATGTCATGAAAATGATGCCTAAAAACAAGGTAGAGTACTTTTCTATCAAGGTACTTTTCTATGGCAACTACAGTACTTTGAATGCATCCAGTGTTGGTTGCTGTTTTAACCCAGCAAGTATCAACAATGTTTTTTTAATATCCCACCATTTTAAAAGATGAATGCAATAATTTGTTTATGATTCAGTTGTTCATAACTTCAAATTTTGAATTCCAAGAACCCTTCCATATAGACTATCTGTTGTGTTTCCCAAAAGAATAACAGCAATTGTGACAGTCAATTTTGTAAGATTTTCTTATCCCAGTAAAGAACTAAATACTCTGGTGGAACAAGTTTTTCCCAGATGTGCAATGTTGCTTTTTCTCCTAATTTCTTGTAAATGGGTTTATTATATGATTTTCAGATAACTTTTAGAATGTTTTTTCAGGGAGTTCCATTCATAGTAATATGTTTTTTCAGGGAGTTCCATTCATTGTAGAAATTTGTGAACATTGTCTTAAGTTTCAGTAGAACCTTATCATAGATGGATTTTGTCTTTTATACTACTTGATAAGAAATAGTTGAGAAATGCTTCTGACCCCAGGAAAACAATTTTAAATGTGCAACAGTTTCAAAAGGCATGCTTGAAAGAAAATTTCATTAAAATCTCCTAATTGTATAACAAAGAAGCCATTTTTCTGTATGATGTTCTGGAAGGGTCTAGAATGTTCTGGATTTTTCAGAATTTTACGGAAAATACATTGATGTTTTAGGTTTCTGAATAAACTATAATCTTTCAGAATGTTTTGGATGATTCCAGAATGTTTTATAATCTTCCAAAATGCTATTAAAAAGGTCTGAATCAGGCTTGGTCGGGAAGCGGGAGCGGTCGCTCTTGATTACTGACCACGGAAATAATATTTAGTTACGAAAAACTGGCCAGATTTTTTAGTCGTTTTGAGAAAATTTCGAAAAATGTTCTCAAAACAACTAAACAACTTTTAATGCGAAAAAACTAAAAGCAAAATAAATTACGTTTAGAACAAATGTTTACGAAACATCACTCTTTTATGAAAATTTTTATAAAATTAAGCGACATTTTTTATAAAGTAACATCTTACATTTGCTAAAATAAGGAAACAAATATTCTTTTGTTTATCAAAGAGTTTATCATATAAGTTTTATTCATATAGTCGTATCTTATTTCCAGTGCTGGATTAAGGAGGGTTAGGTTTAGAGGAGGCTATAGCCCCGAGCCTCGCAATGTTAGGGGCCCCAAAATAGTCAAGAAGACCTTTTTTTTTAGTCATTTTTATGCTGTGGCAAATAAAAAAAGGCCTCCAAAATTAAAATAGCCCCGGCCCCAAAAAGTCCAACAAGATTTTAATATAACTAAGCTAGTTTTAGTTTTATTTAAGCTAAATTATTTTATAAATAAGTTAATTTTTTAAATAACTTTTTTATGCTTCACATAGTTTGAAAAATTTAACATATTTGAAACAATTCTTCTTAGCAAGATGAACATATGAAATAATTAAATCATTGGGTTACTGTAGAAATTAAATTAACTAAATAGAAATCAACTAAAAAAAAAAAAATTTTATGAAGAGGAAGAGGAACGTTAGTTTTAAAACAGAAAAAAAAAGTTTAAGTTTAAACCAGTTTGTAAGAATGGCAACTGAAGCGAAAATAATTAGAGTTAGTAAACCAATATCTAAGAACTTAAAAAATTTTCTTTCTTGGGGGAAAGAATCAGTTATCGGGTACATAGAAGAAAATGGATTAATTATGTTTATGTTGTAAAGCAATATTGTCTAATGTTGGATAGAGCTCCACAACAAGTTTTGTTGAGCTCTTTCCTTATGGGATGAATCATTGCTGTTTGCCAACAATATTGTCTAATGTTACTCTTGAGTCCATAATACAAGGGGGGGGATGGGTATAAAAGGGTGGGTGGAAATTTTAATCCTGGGGGAAGGAGCCCGAACTTACACTGAAAGTTTCAATATTTTTCAGTTACTAGCATGTTTTTTTAATTCTTAAGGCCAATTTTTACTTGAATCTTTTTTATAATTTTGAGAAATAATTTTTTTGTTGATAACAAGTAAAAATTAATGAACGGGGCGGGGGCTTAATGACCTTATGTTGGATGGGAAAATTTTTTTAAAATTAATTAATAAACATCAGACCCAACCACTTCTCTTAAGTACTTGAGAATATATATATATATATACATATATATATTTGTGTTTTGTCCTGACCTCAGGCATGGTGCTTATTCATCCGTGAATTACTTTGTATGCATGTTTGTGTTTAGTAACAGAAACTTTTTGTATGTTTATTTCATTATTAGTTTTATTAACTTTGATGATTATTAATAATTTCATTGAAAACGCAATTATTGTTGAAAGTCATTTTTATTTACAAAATAAATTTAAAGATAATTCTAATGTAAGGATTACATTAGAATAAAAAAGGAATACACAAAATTACATTTACATAAATAATACATTATTTTTTTAAATAATAAATAAGAATATACTAATAAAATCTATAATATATAAAAAACTTTAAAAATTTTGACTTTTCAAAAAATACATATTTAAAACATTTATTTTTGTAAACAAATAATAATAGTTTAAAAGATTTAGGGCTTTAAAAGATTTTTTTAAAAGATTTACTTTTTTAAAAGATTTACTAGGGCTTTGCAAATGTGGCTCCGAGAATGAGCCACAAAATGATAGTTTGTTTGATAATATATTCTTAAAACAATTTATGCTAGAAATCTCAACACTTAACAAATCTCGAATAATACAATTTTTATAACATTTCAACAGAATACTCCAAAACTTTATTTCGCTTATTCAGCACTTTCTTTTGAAACCTTTCATCTTTAAGGAACATATATATATATATATATATATATATATATATATATATATATATATATATATATATATATATATATATACAGAAAATATAAAGTAAAAGATAAACAAACCAGTAAACAAAAGTGAATCTTTTTTTCTCAAAAAAATTTATTATTAAAAATATTTTTTAATTTCCAAAAAATACACTAATACAAAGTATTTTTATATTTATATAATTAGTTCAACTTTAGGCACTAGAGGCCTTTCAAAAAATAATTGGTACATCGGTGCTGTTTTGGTATTGTTGCAAGATTTTTGTAATCAAAACAAAAATAATTTAAATTGCATTTTGTTGTTATGAGTAACAGTTATGATGTATTAAGTTCTAATAATACACAGGAAGTATCATGTTTTTGTTTGTGTAGATGCAAAAAGTTAAAAAAATCAACCTCCTAACTTACTAAGAAGACTTACTTCTTCAAAAGTTGAAACAACTATAAGAAGATTGGCATATTTAAATGTGAAGACATTTGGTGTAAAATATGCAAACTTTACCTTCAAGAAGTAAATGAGTTTGAAACATCTAATGGTACTACTTGGAAAAGAAAAAGTCACATCACAATGCAATAGCGAAAATGTAATTTATTACCTTGAATGTTTGGCATGCAAAAAACAAAACACATAAACTGGTAAAACTAACAATTTAAGATAACAAATAAACTGACATATTTCTAGTTGCAGAACTGGTCTATCAACTAATAGATTTGACAAACATGTTTATACTTGTCAATGTTCCCATCAAAGTAAAGTTAAACTTTTTTTCCAAATTTTTGTCTTCCTTGAGCTTTACAAGGAAAGTTTTTTGTTATTATATGAAAAACATCTGCACAAACAAAAAAATTATTATTTATAAATTTTACATTATATATATATATATATATATATATATATATTATATATATATATATATATATATATATATATATATATATATATATATATATATATATATATATATATATATATATATATATATATATATTTACTACAACAGTGAAGAAGGGGCCATCAAATAATACAAAAAATTTTAATTTTTATCACAGTGTAATTAGTTCAATAGCAAGGTCAGAGATTTCTTTCATTAAAAATAATGTTTGTTTACAAATATTTTTCCCGGGACTTTTCAAAACCTTTAATTTTTAATAACTAATTTTAATAACTATTTTAAAATATTTTTAACTTTAAAACTAAACTTAAAAAAAAAAATTTAAATTATAAAAAATAAAACTAAAAAACAATCTAAACGTAAAAACTTTTAAACATTAAATACCTTTCTCAAGACCATTAAGCATCCTATCAAACAAAACATCAAAGCTTATATCTTTTGACTTAAGTGAAGCTCTCTCTGGTATCCATCCAGTTAGAGCATTTAAATCAATATTCTGAGAAATACATAATGATATCACATATAACTTTGTATTAAGATTAATGATAAAAAGTTTGTACAACAAAAAATAAATTTACAGAATTGGAACCAGGAAAATCATAGCCACCCATAACCTAATAAAAAACATATGAATAATTGTAAAAAACTTTACTAAAAAACTTTTAAAAAAAGAATTAATATATATTCAAAATAACTAAGTTACAAAAGCAATTTTCCAAAATAAAAACAAAACTAAAAAAAAAAAAAAAATACTATCAATATAGAGACCTTCATGTACAAGAAGTACATGAAGTACAAATAAATGACATAATGACCTTCATGTATGCCTTCTCAAGTAAGCTGACCCAAAATTCGTTGCAATTTTGTGAAAATGAACATAATAGTTGTCCATCTTTTCCCATTGGAAGTAAATCATCAATTATTACCTACAAGGTAAAAATAGTTATTTAGAATAGGATAATGCAAATTACCACTCTAGGATATTTAAATGTACCCACCAATAAAAAAATATTAATATAATTTCCTCAACATTAACCTTTCTTGCGACCCCATTGAAATGCAATTTCACCATATATTTTCCACAAGGATTAATAAATGGAGTACCATCTTTTTGTTGTGGAAAGATAATACTAAAAATGCAAATAGGCAAATTAAAGTTTCAAAAACTAAAACTTTTAAAACGTAATTATACTTGCATGATAATAAAAAAATGAATGCCAGGATAAAAAAAGTCATGATTTTTTTATGCAAACACAGCCTAGAAAAGGCAGATACTTGCAAGTAAAAAAAAAATATTGATATTTGGCGATGTTATAAGAAATGGGGGTACATTTAATAATAGAAACACAAAAAGAAGAGCATTTGGAAGCCATGTAAATGGCTGAAATACTTCAAGTTGATGATGATCTTGTTAAAAGATTCTATATTACCCTTTGCATAATGTTCTGCAAGTTTCCAATATATCCAGCTAAACTTAAAGTACATAGTATTCTATGTCTGCTAGAATTCAAAAGACAAGCTGGTCTCAATCAACCATTTATCTAAAGAAACTCAGGAAGGCATAAATAATAATAATAAAAATTATAGAGTACACTTATTTCCTCATGTGTAACAAGATTGCTCTGTTTCTCAGACCACAATAAAACTTCTTTAAAGATTTGAAGTAGGAGCTAATCATACTCTTGTTGTTATTATTATAAGATGTGGGGTTTATTTAGCCATAAGTAATTTGTAAGAGACTTAATTTTTAAATGTGGGTTAAATTCAAATGTAATTTTTTAAACAATAGAAATGTGAAATGATTCTTACAATGTTTTTGCCATGCAACTACAAGCACTAATGAACATTCATAATGTTTATTTATATTATGAATGTACATTGTTTATATAAAATTTTTATATACATACATACATATATATATATATATATATATATATATATATATATATATATATATATATATATATATATATATATATATATATATATATATAGGAATATATATATATATATAGGAATATATATATATATATATATATATATATATATATATATGTATATATATATATATATATATATATATATATATATATATATATATATATATATATATATATATATATATATATATATATATATATATATATATATATGTATATATAGATATTATGGTGCTTTAAAAATCACTACTCAGTGTTGTTAATGTGGTGTGGTTATTTTTTGTATTAATCTATTTTTAGATTCTAGTTCAGAAAAGATTTATATAAAATTTCACTTTATTTGAGTAATAAGTTGACTTTTTTAATATAAACATTTTAGGGACCATTTAAACAATATTAGGGACCTGTTGAATAGAAAATGAGCTATGAACTAAATATTGAACAATTAAACTTAAATTAGACTTGAAACTTCAAATTGTGTATCTAGGATTATTAAATCATTTCTTTCTAACTGTTTTATTATAATCATCGTCAAAGGCTTACTTATTTATTTCCAGTAACTTATCTACATTATTGATCTTCCCAACAACCCTAGATCTATAGTAGCTTTTTTTGCTAATGACTCAAGTTTTTACTCCTGTCTGGACAAAAAGTCTTCTCTTTTTGATTGCTTAGAACAGGCAGCCAATTTTGTATCTGATCTTACTTCTGTAATAGATTGGGGCTCACATATTTTAGCTTATAAATTTTAATTCCAACAAAACTCAGTTATTTACTGCAAACAACTACCACAATACTGTCGACATTCCTATATTAATTAATGGTAACCCTCTTACTGAGTCCTCTTTTTCACATCTTCTTGGAATATTATTTGCTACTAACCTTTCATGTAAACAAAATATACAATCGATTGCTAAATTAGCACCCCTTTATCATTATCCTTCGATTCCATTCTCTACCTCTACAAATATCTTTTTGTCCCTGTATGGAATGTTGTTGTCATATTTGGCTGGTTATTCTTATGATGCCTTTTTTCTTCTAAACAAGCTCTATCTGCTAAGCTTGAGCCTCTTACCATTGTCGTAAAGTTGCATCTCTTTCCCTTTTCTACAAATTCTATCATGGTGGCTGCTCAAAAGAGTTATTATCTCTAGTTTCATTCTCGCTTGACTCTTTATTATGCTCAGTCTCATTCATTAGTTGTTAAATTTTATTAAGTATAATAAATGTAACTAAATAATATTTATTGTGTCAATATACACTAAAAACAATAAAGATAAAATTGAGGAAGATAAACTTATCAAAGAAGTTTTTATACAGGACTGCTTCAACCGTGTTAACCTTTAACCATGTTAATATACCAAAACAAAAATTAATTCAGTAAATTTCAGTATTTATTGTCCTATTTAAATCAGAAATTAAAATATGAATTAAGATATTGCCATTAAAGTTAAATTTAGTAACTTAAACAAAAAAAAAACTTTAAAAAAAAAAAAAAAAAAAGACCCCTATGTTTTTTTCCCAAAATAATGACCGAAAAAAACAAAAAAACGTGCCACATCTCTATGCATACATATTATGAATATAAACATATCTGTTTGCTATTTATTTAGATGCAGGCATACAATTTTTTATTGTTATATAAGCTTTAGTATTTGTATGGTGTAGTATTTGCCAAAAGAGAAATCAATCAGATGGATGTGTGGTGTAACTCAAGCAAGACAAAAAAAAGAAGGCATAATCTTAAACAGATTCGAAAAAACATTGTATCGAACAACGTTTGTTAGAAAAGATTAAATTAATTTAGGCATCAGCATGTAAAGAGGTACCAGCTTCAGTAGAAAATCAAAGTGGTAGTAAGAAAACTTGAGAGTACCTTACATAATGTATGACTGAGCTTTAGTTGAGAAAAAAAAAAGTTCTAGATGATATTAGAGAAACAGCATAAAAGAGGAAGGTTAAAGGTTTGGAAGCTGATGATGATCATGATGACGATAATGATGATGATGATCATCATCATCATCAAGCTTTAGCATTCCTATTTTATGCTGTTGATGATGATGATGATTGTGATCATAATAATGATGATGATGATTGTGATCATAATAATGATGATGATGATTATCATCATCATCATCATCATGATAATAATGACGATTATGATAATCATAATGATGTTTATATATGCATATATATACAAAATATAACATAAATTTTGAATTAAAAAAATAATTTGGGTTGTATAAAAGTTTATGCAACCCCGGTCACCAACCCGGCCCCTGCTATATTTTATCAAACCTGGCAACAACCCTGGTCAAATATCAACCCGGGTTGTTTACTAACCACTATTAGAAATATAGGAGAAAAAATAAAAAATTAATTTTTATCTGAACTAAAGTTCACCACAGTAAGCCCCATGCTGTAGCAGTAGTGAGATCCTTTTCAAGCTCAAATGCCCCTTCCAAGCAATTAGAGAGTGTTGGCTTCTTATCAAGACAAGAATAAATGGTAGTATCATCAGTGAACAATGCCACCTTAGATGTGTGAATATCCAGAAGATCGTTAATCTAAATTAAAAAGAGTATAGGGCCAAGTATGGAACCGTGAGGAACCCCTGAAGTTCCAGAAGATGAAAAAGAGTGCTGCCCATCAAGGACAAATTGATGTTATAGTTTTGAAAGTATAGACGATAGCTACGGAGAACACTTCTTCAAGACTATAATCGGTATGTTGTTTAGACCATATGCTGTGGAAGAAGCCAAGCAGGAAATCACTTTAGATACAGAAGCTGGAGTGATAGGAATGTCAAGTGATGGATCAACCTCTTTGTCAGCTATTGTTTAAACTCCATGAAAAAACAGATTTTGTTTGAAAACAAAATAATTTTTTTGTTTAAATTAATATCATATCTTGTAAAGTTTTTTATCGTTATTATTTAAAAGATAATATTTTTGTTATAGTATAACTTTTATGCCAACTAGACAATTAATTAAATAGATATACATATTAAATATTACAATTAATTAAATCCAACTTTTATGCCAACTTTATATATTCTATAAATTGTTAAATTATCTGTTGTTTCTTTTCATCAACTCTTTTTTAAGTTTAGTGCAACATTTTTTAATTGCATTTATGCAAGAATTTCTCTTATAAAACAATGTTCAATTGGACAACACTATAATTTTCTTAAGGTAATTGTATTGTTGAAATCGTTAATATTTGCCCAAAGAGAACATATTGTGAATTATTGTCCCAATGGAATTTTTGTGTAGCAATCATTAAAATAAATATTGGAAATGCAAAAAACTTGTCAAATATATTATTTGTATTTGACGCAAACCAGCAACATAGAAAAACCGTAATCGCAGACACATTTTTTAAAAAGTAGATTTTGAGGGTAAGATTTCCTAAGTATTAAAACACATCCAATTTGCAAGAAAATTTCTATATAGATTAAAAATAAGGTGAGGAATCGAATGGAAAGAGGAACCTTTTTCAAATTTATACAAAAACTTTTAGTTCTCAACTTTTAAAAACTTTAAGGTCAATTTTGTTAAAAAAAAACCTTTTTCTAAAAAGGTTCCTTGTCCAAAAGGCAAATATAGCCCTTCCCCTCTCTAAATCAAGTATTTATTTATGTATTCTTGAAGATTTGATGCTTAGGAATTTTGTTTTAAAATTATGTATGCATTACATGCTTTTTTTTTCGTACTTTATGATGTTTTTTGTTTTGATTTTTGCGTTAGTTTACTAATTTATAAATAAACTTTACACAGTAATTTACTAATTGGTCTAAATGTCCTTACACAGTAATTTACTAATTGGTCTGTAAATTAAGCAATAGTTTTAAACAGATGAATTAATTGGATTCTACAACCCTTTATGCATATTTGCATGGAGTTTTTATAATATAACTTGAAATTTTATTCTCCAAGACTAGCTAAATAAGTAAAAACACTACAGTCTGTAAAATTAATGATTCTAGATAATCCCGACAAATGTAAAAAAAAAAATTATGGCACTTAATTTTCTTATAGTTTTGTATCCCTATCGAAAATTTTAAGTCAAATGTAATAACAGTTATAAATTATGAAATACATTCAAAGTCTAATTGCCCGATATTTGTGCAACCTATATATATACAAAATTTCATGTTTTGTAGGCTCACTTTTCTTCAAAGGCCTCGGGAAAAAACCTTATATGCCTCGTGCTTATTCAGGACCTGCAGTAATGAATTACCTTATCATTACTAAAAGAATAACTAAAATCGAAAAATCCATTAAAAAAAAAATAATTTATTAACAAACAGTGGCTTTAATTTTTAAAAAACAGGAGAAAAAATAAGTCGCGCAAGTGATTTATTTTTGAAAAAAGAGGTGCGCTGAACAACAGGGTTTAATAAGGTTAAAGATTTAATAGGGTTTACACTCCTAAACTGGAAAAAAAAAAGGATGCGGAAGATGGACTAGAATCTATATCATATAATACTGCCAAAGAGAACTTTGTCACGCTATGTCTCATTTTTGTCTAATGACAAGGTGTATGTATATATATATATATATATATATATATATATATATATATATATATATATATATATATATATATATATATATATATATATATATATGGCCAACAACAAGTTGAACATGTTGGCTCCATGATCACGTTAAAATAATTCGGATTATGCAAATAATTTATGGTTAAAAAAACATTTTATAATGATTATTTTTTTTACCAAGCAACAATAAGAATAACAGTCACTTTTGGAACCATAAAAATGACTAAAATAAATTTATTTTTGTACTAAGGAAACATTTTAAATAAATTTTTATGTGTCTACATCAATATTCATTTGTTAAAAATTGACTAAAAAGAGTTTAAAATTTGACCTCTATTTCATTTTCTACCGTGGAATTGCCCTTATTACACAAATATATAAATAAAAATTCAAAAAAAAAAAAATTAATATACAAATATATTTTTACAAAATGCTACAAAACTTAATCTAATTAGTAGTGTTAGTTAAAAAAAAACTATTTAACAACTTTACATTTAAATTAACCAACTAATATGTTTGCAATAATAACATCTACTTTGTTAAATTTAATGTACAAACATTAGTTTTTTGAGGCAATAGAGTGAATGAACTTTGGACAAGACGCATTTTTTTAATCAAAGAAAAGTGTTTTTTGTAAATTAAATTTGTAAGTGTGTGTTCATTACTACGTTTTAGAATGAATAATATACATCAAACTTTTTTTTTTTAAATGCTTTTTTATATGAGATCATATGTTTATAGCACTTAGGGATCCCTTTAAGTTATACATTTTTTCTCAATGTAGTCCATTAATCTCTAAACATTATTTGCTCCTAGACACCATCAGAACAAAAACTATTATATATTGTGTATAATTATTAATAATTTTGGGCACCAAGACACACTAGAAACATAAAAGAAAAATGAAAGTTTTTTTTGGGACTTCTTATTCATGCCAGTTAACAAATAATAATTTAGTTTCTAATATATTTAAACTTAAATATACTAGAAAAATTGGTGTTAAAGTATTTAATAAAAAAGTATTTTTAAATAGCAAGTTATTAATTCTTAAAATTCTAAGAAAATGAAATTTTTAAATATAAGCATTTTAGCAAAAACATATATATTATTTTTTGACCTTGTGATAAGTTTCCTCTGAAACTGCCTTTCATAAGCTGCACTGATAGCTAAAGAAGCAACAAAGGAGCAGTCAGATACAATTGTCTAAAAAGAAAATGTAACAAATCAAGGTTGTTGTTTAAATAAAAGTAATGAAAAAAATTAAAGGCCGTAATCAAACAAACAAAAATATACTCAAAAACACATATAATATTAAAATAAAAGACCGTAAGTAATCAAACTAACAAAAATATATTTAAAAAAACATATATAATATTAAAATAAAAGGCTATAATCAAACTAACAAAAATATATTTATAAACTCATATATAATATTAAAATGTTTTAATCAAACTAGCAACAATATATTTGTAAACACATATACAATATTAAAATAGTCAAGATATATAGTGATTTACTAATAAGAAATTTCTTTATAAACCGAAAATCATTAGAAAAATGTTCTTGGCATGAAGAAAATTGTCCAGCGTGATGTTTCATGCCCATAAAACTCAAATATTTTTTTGGCAAGTGTGATTATGCACACTCATCACTAAGTTATCGGGTGCAATCTATTATTTTTGGATATAGGTGTTCCACACAATTTTATTAGTTTTTAATTTTTTATACAGCGTTCTTTAGATAATAAATATTTTAAAATTATTATTTAGCAGCGCGCTGCCTGACAAAACATCTAAAATTCTTTCGACTTCCTAAATACTCATTTATTATTTGATCGCATCTGATTGTGTTTTTTTTTCCACCTAGTTCTTTACGATCTTGTTTTAAAGAATAAATTTATTTTTTATGTATTTTCTTTGTTATTGTCTTCATCTTTAACTTAATACTACAGTCAATTTTTTTTCATTATTATATCGAATTTATTTGAAATAAGTTCATAAGCTTTCATTTTTTTTCATTGTTTCATTCGTTTAATTAAAATATAAATTCATGTTTTTGCATCATTAAAACATTAAAACAATGAAATAACGATTTCTTTTCGTTAAAACATATTTAATGTTTATTCGTTGCTAACGCTAACAAAATTTTTATAACTTTTTTAACATATGTTTTCACAAACTTAAACATTTCTTTTTCTCAAATAAATTTATAATTTTAACTAAGTTATAATTAATTTAAGTTATAAACAAAAGTTTTTTAAATTTAGTTAAACTTTGGCCGAAAACATTTCTAAGCTCTAATTTACCAAATGACGTAGTTTAATATTTAGAAAACGAGTTTTTTTAATTGTTTTACTTCGACTGTCAAAAAGCAATTAAAAGTATGTGAATAGTGATTATTTTATTTTTAACAATAAGCAAACTATTCCGTTCAAAACACAACGTTTTTAGAAATATTTTTTTCGAAATTAAATGAGAAACTTTTATTATTATACATATGGTTTTTAGCAAAAGCTTTTACAAAGTTAAATTTACATCATTTCTCATAACTAATTTGTATTTACTACACTATTTAATATTATTAATAAATTTATACAAATAAATAAAATTTATTTAATTTCATTAAATGTTTGCTGTAAACGTTTTATATAAAGAAGTCTCTTTTATGAAAATCTTTAGAGATGCAAATCCAAAATCAATACCAACACATCCAAAAGAATTCTAACTGCTAGAAGCAACACGCTTTGTATACAACCACAACTACCAGAAGAAATACACTCCATTTACTACCATAGGTCAATACAATAAACAATATTTCAAAAATGTTTTTACCAATCTTAAATTGACATTTTTTGATAAATTATTTACTTATGTTGTAAAATCTGTTTAAAGGGATTCCAAACTCCCAACACATGTTGTGTTCATATTAAAGATAATGTTAAAAAAAAAGGTTTGAACCAAATTTTTTTGAATAAAAATAAACAATGAATGCATACCATGAAAAACAAATGTTGTTGTTTTTGCCGAAGCTCGTCTTCTTCATTTTTTTCAACTACTCGGAGTCTTCAAATTATACGTCGCAATCTACAGACTTTGACAATTCCTTTGAAGCGCGTTTAATTCATAAAAGTTTTAGTATTTGACGTCATGGTAGACTTTTAACAAAAGAAACTCTTGAAATATATTATTTTTAGTCGAAGTTTTTTTGGTTATTTGTTTATTTTTATTTTTTTTTTTCTACTTTTAATATTTAAAAAGATATTAAAAATCTTAAATATTTTATGCCGGTTCGTTGCTATAAATTGTTATTGCGCCATATATTTAATGTTTATAAACTATGAATATTTATCTCAAAATTTTTATCTCAAAAATTGTTTTACATTAATTACCCGTATAAAATTAGTAACAGCTTTTTTATTTGGTTAGATGATATTTCGTTTCAATTTGCTTTGCATAAAGTTCGGAAAGTCAAACGAAAAAAATTAGTTTGAATAATCACGTCGAAATATATTTAAAACAAATTATTTTGATGACGGGGGTTCTAAAGTTTTTTATAACAAATGTAGGTAAAAAAATAAATAACTAAATAAAAAGTTCAGTATTAAACACCATTTCTTTATTATATTGCAACTGTAAATATTGAATTATTAACTTGAACTAAATTTACTTATTATTTAGAACGACTAACCAATAAAAATAAAATGCCCCTAAAATTATGCGAGATTGTGTTGTTTATTTGATAACTGTTGTTGGTAATGTTGTTTATGTTGATTATTTTCATAAATATCAAAATAGTTCCAGATTAATCTGTTCGTTGCTTTGCTCATTGTTGATTTATGTCTAATTTAATTTTATCTCAAACTATAATTATATGTTAAAAAAGAAAAGTTTTTATTTCATTGGGCGCTCTTTTTATAAAAGAGTAGAACAAAAGAGAAAGAAAAGTTTCGCGCAATTAAACTTTGAATGAATAAGAGTTGTATAGATTATATATTTTTTTTGCGTCACTTGTTCTTTTTTTAGATGAGAGAAATAAAAGTTTAATAGTAAATTTTCTTTGAATAAATGAGAATTGGAAGAGAAAATTGCTTGAAAATTTGTATTTGTTAATTGTGTTTTTAAAAATTTTAAATTTTTCATGTTAAAGGGATCCCTAAGTGCTATAAAGATATGATCTCATATGATAGAGCATTAAAAAAAAAAATGTTTGATGTATATTATTTTTTCTAAAACGTAATAATGAACACACACTAACAAATTTAATTTTCAAAAAAACGCTTTTCTTCGATTAAAAAAAGTGCGCCTTGTCCACAGTTTATTGACTCTATTGCCTCAAAAAAACTAATGTTAGTACGTCAAATTAAACAAAGTAGACAAAATGTCATTATTGCAAACTTATTAATTGGTAATTAAATTTAAAAGTAAAGTCGTTTTTTTTCAACTAACACATAATTACTTACAAGAATATGTTTTGTAGCATTTTGTGAAAATATATTTGTATATTAAATTTTTTTTTATAATATTAATTTATATATTTGTGTTATAAAGGCAATTCCACGGCTAAAAATGAATAGAAGTCAAATTTTAAACTCTTTTTAGTCAATTAAAAATAAATGAATATTGACTTAGACATATGAAAGTTTATTTAAAATATTTCCTTAGTAAAAAAATAAATTTATTTCAGTAATTTTTATGGTTTCAAAAGTGATGGTTACTCTCATTTTTGCTTGATAAAAAAAAATAATGATTGTAAAATGTTTTAGTTAAATTAACATTTATGTTAAATTGCTATATTTTTTTGGTTCAAATTGATAAGGTTGAATAGACATTTTATAAGAAATTAAACTAAGACAGGGCTCGAATTAACGCAAAAAAATCTAATGGCAAAAAAAATATTTTTTTTTTGCTCTCTCTCTCCTTCCCCCTCTCTCTTATAGCTCTCCCCCCCCCCCGATGTGCGGTAATGGGGGGAAAAAATTATTGTCAATAAATCAAAAAAAATCGTCAAAAATTTAATAAAAAATTAGATACCACGTTTTTTATAATTTATTGTTTCTTAAATAAAAGACTAATAAAAGTTTAAATATAATTAAGTTTTTCATTTAAATGGTTGATGTTTTTATTCAATTTTTCTATTTCAAGTTTTCCAATAAAAGATAAAACAAAAAAATTTGGTTTAATAAATCGAATTATAGTTCATGTTTAAAATAAGGCTTAAAAACGTTAAAGTAAAAAAATTGCTGGTTTTTATTAGCATTTTTATACTGTTTGAATAAAAAAGAATTAACTAATAATATATTAATTAATAATTATATATTAATTCATTTTTATTAGTTTTTTTTTCAAACAGTATAAAAATGCAAATAAAAGTCAGTAATTTTTTTGCTCTAACGTTTTTAAGCATTATTTTAAACATGAAGTTTTGATAAACAAAGATAAAAACTTTTCAACTTTTCGCTTTAACGACCTTGTAAAAATTTTCCACGCAGAGATTTAATGTAATTTAAATTCAAAAATGTTTTACGTTGAAAGAAAATCTCCGCGCGAAAGAGCAAATTATCTATTCAGAATAAAAAATTTTGTGTTTTTTATTTTTGTGTTTTAAATTCTTTATGATAAAAACATTACTTTGAAGAATAGACATTTCTCTAATTCGATTGCGCAACCATTTTCTCATCATGAAAAAGAGGCCAGTAAGGACAAAAATGTAAACAAATAGCGAAAAACTACTTGAGTAATATTTTTAAATAAGTTAATTATCTAATAAATAATGTATGGATTTAATAGCGACTGCCTTAAAAATAAAATAAATTAGTATCTAATATTGCAATATATAAACACAAATAGTAAAATAGAAAAAATTTAAATTTGAAAAAATGTGTATCTTTAAAAGAAGATATGTACAATCTATTTACAAAATATGTAAAACCTATTGCGTTTCTCCCTGTGTTCACAAGACACAAGTTCACAATTAATAGTTATATGGACAAACGTTAAATGAAAAAAAATATTTAAAAAACTTAAATAATATATAATAGAAATTTTTTGAAACTGGATTGTTAGCTCAATTATGCAACCACTAGCAACTCCGGATGAACTTGTTAACAAGTCCATCTGGACTTGCACCAAGCCAGTGGTCTTTTAGTCATTTTAAAATTGATTTAAAGGTATATTAAATTAAAATAATTGTTCTTACACTAAAATAAATGAACTTTCCTTACACTAAGAGAAATGCAAACCTTAAAAGAAAATGATTTAGTCAAACAATAAATAGTTTATACTGGTTCATTACCTACAGGAGAATTATTTCTTTAAAAACATCACTCATTTGGCTATTATCCACAAGTCAAAAATGGACTTATCTGGACTAATGTTTGTTAATAGTTTATGCATATAACAAAATTATTATTGCAAACACTGACTTTAATTAATGCTAGTTTTTAGATATTACTGATAAACTTTTTTAATAAAAAATATATTTTATCGTGCTTAATAATAAATATTATATTTCTTATATTTTTACTGTTTTATAAGAACTGTTTCATAAAGTTTACATAAGTTTTCATAAGCAGTTTACAGTCCAAATTTGATTAATTGATCTATATAAAACATTTTTTTTCATTTCATAAAACATTTCCTTTCGTTCTTGCTTTTTTTAATTATTTGTTGTATGGCACATTCCAAATTTTTATGCTGCTATTGGGGCTATTGTTGTTGACTTTCTATAACCTCTTCGTTCATTTAAAAAGGCAAGAATGTTTAGTGTTACATCTAAAGGTTTACGCAGATCATTAAATAAAAAACCCTATCAGCCGTTACAGAATCATCACTCTCCCATAGCTTTTTTTTGCAAAGGCAATTGCTTAACTATGAAAAACAAATATCAGAGCCAAAAAAATTAGTTTACTAACAAATCATAATCCACCAGAAAGAGCGATTCCAACTAATACTTTATAGGTAATGCAGTAAACTGTACGTTGGAAGGTCTTTGACAAAACAATTTGATACAATTAATAACTTTCACTTGAGGATATGTCTCTTTAAAACATTTAGGTATATTATGTTTAAGTGATTTAAACTTGGCCAAATTTGTTTTGCACAAAGTTTAAGGTGTATAAAACTTGGCTGTGTATATAAGGTATTTCTAAACAGATTGTTGCTTTAAATAACCAGATAAGTAAGCAAGTGAAACCTCTTCAAGTAAAACTTCAAGTCTAAGCTATGTTAAAAACATAAATAGTTGGTCAATCAGTTTCATTTTTGACCGCGTATGGATTCTGGTGTGAAATATAAAGGAGATGAAAACAATTCTTTAGGTAGCCTTTTCTCAGAAAATTATTTTCCATGTTTTCACATTCTTTTTCAAGATTTAAACATTCAAATAAAACTTTTCATTTTTTCATGCCAGTAAATGAGTTGAAATATTTAAAATATTAAACTTTCAACATTTTCGTAGTTAAAAACATTACTTTTGAATTGTTTTTTTTTCATGTTTTTGAACTTTTATATTCTTCAAGCAAGCTTCTATAACTTTCATGACATACTTCCAACTTTTTTCAATGAATGTTTTTTTGGATAACAAAAGTTTACATTTTTTATAATCAACTTTTTCCGTAGAATCGATTATTGTATGAGTTTTTTTAATAAATATTAGCTGTAAAATCTAGATATTTTGACTTTTTTCATGGAGATTTTCTAGGTAATTTCTTTTGCAGTGTGTTGAATGTCAATAATTCGTTTTTCCAAGCTTTGTAAACATCGAATTTTGTAAGCATCAACTTTATTTTTCTCCGTATTGCTATTGTAAAACGAACTTCCACATAGTGTTGTAAAACAATACATTCTTCTTCAATCTTTTTTTATTTCCTTGTTGGAGAAAGACTTGTTTAAAAGAGAGAAATTATAATTTAAATTTAATCATTTTGAATTTGAGTTTTTATCAGTTTATATTTTTGTCCTTACTGGCCTCTTTTTCAAGCTGAGAAATTAGTTGCGCAATCGAATTAGAGAAATGTCTATTGCTAAAAAAAATGCTAAGCTAGAAAACAGTAATTAATCAACAAAAAAAAAAACGAGTTGCGAAAAGATTTTTTTTAAGAAAAAACTAATCACAAAAGTGTGTGTAGCAATCGCGATTGCGATACGCTTAATATGAGCCCTGTAAGACTTTTTTATAAGTTCTAAACTATTTAAAACTATTACTTAATAACTTTTTTTTAACGACGTCTTTCAACCGAATGCTATTATACTGTTTTTGCAAAACTAATTTAAAAAACAGGGTAATTGGTATGGAGTTTTTTTTTTATTTTTTTTTTATTATAATTCACCTCCTCAAGGCCGAGAAGGCCACTACAAACCAGGAGGCTACTTATTTTGTGGCTATAACCCTCTCTCAACTCTATAACTCCGAAACACGAACCTTGACGAACAAGGCCGCTGCGCAGAGAAACGAGTTGCTAACATTTTAAAAACTTCATTAACAAAGATCAAATGTAAAATAAAATGGTATTTCCTTTTTATCCATATCCAACTCAGCAAATTAAGCAATTTAAATTAAATCAAAAAAATTTTATAATAAAAAAAGTTAACAATTCATTAAATATCTCTAATTAATACTGTCAGTTTATGAAAGTAATTGTTAATAAATACTTTTTTCAACGGGAAAACAAAAAACTGTCATAGTATAAAAATAACCAGAGAAGTTAGAAAATAGTTCCCATTGTTTAAATAAAAATAATTAAGAATCAGAATATATAATACTGCGCTCTCTTGCGCAAAAACAAGAGACCGTATATAAAACGTTCTATATAATGTAAAATACTTGTATGAAAATCATGAGATTGGTAAGTAAAGCTTTAATATTTGTTTTAATTTAAATAATTAAAGAAATATAAGTAAGATATATAAATCTTAAAATTATTAAGATATCTGTAAAAAATAAGTTGCTCCTATAAAATAAAAATAATTTATTGTTTTTACTTTTTACAAAATTTTTTTTGCGATGTTTGGAAAAATAATACAAATAAATTTGTTTTGCTGTATGTTAAAAAAAATACTACAGTAGAAAAAACGCAGCTTAGTTTAATTACACTTTTCTTTTGTTAAAAGTCTACCGTGACGTCAAATACTAAACTTTTATGAATTAAACGTGCTTCAAAGGAATTGCCAAAGTCTGTAGATTGTGACGCATAATTTGAAGACTCCGAGTAGTTGAAAAAAATGGAGAAGACGGGCTTCGGCAAAAACAACTACATTTGTTTTTCACGGTATGCATTCATTATTTATTTTTAATCAAAAAAATTTGGTTCAAACTTTTTTTTTTTAACATTATCTTTAATATGAACACAACATGTGTTGGGAGTTTGGGATCCCTTTAATCAGTAAGAATTGTTCGTAGCATAAGTGTTTTCTTGTAATCTGATAATTTTCAGTATCTAAACTAACAACAACTTCTTCTTGCTTAATTCTTTTCAATTTTTCATTGATGACAACCATTCAACCATCATCACCATCAACCATTCATCCAAGATGTTTCTACAGCATTAATGATAGCTGAATTACTCTTAATTTTACTGAATTTATATTTGTTTGAAATAAAAGTTTTTCATCTTCCACGAATTCCAGTAAGATAAGTACTTATATTTAAAATGAATCCAGGTTCAACATATTCTTCAATCAGTTAAATATATTAACTATTTTTTTCCAAAAATAGAGATTTTTGTCTCAGTTAAAACAATAGAAAGGAATCCTTCTTTATTTTTTTTAAAGAAGTCCCATACTTATTTTAAAGGAGAATTTTAATACAATACAAATACAAATACAAATAGAATTTTAATACAATACAAATCTTCGTTTAATTTTTTTATATTAAAATATTTTAATTTTATAAATCAATTTTCTGATAAATTGTCTAAATTTAAAATCAGACAATTGATGTAATTTAAAAATTTGTCAAAACTTTGACATATTTGTGACATGTGGTATGAGAACTAGAACATAAACACCCTCATAAAATGTCCCCATCAACCCCCTGGTTCCACAAAACAGATTTTAGGAAAAAAAAAATGCTTAGATTTTAAATTTCATCAAAATATATTTTGGTGCTCAAAAGATATGGTCTTATAAAACCTAGAAACCCTCATTTTAATTTTTTTTTACAGTTTTAGAAAAAAGGATCAAAAAGAATGTGGCTTTTAACTTCAATGGTTTTTATCTCATGTCAATCTACTACAAAGAGTAGTTTAAAAAATCCTCAAGTAACATTAATCTAAAAATCACAGAGCAATTAGTTATAAGATATCTTTCATAAAAAGTTTTCTTACTTTTTTATAACCAATAATGTTCACTTTAAAAAGTAATCTTAAAAATCATGAATAGAAAACAACAAAATCAAAAATGAAATTGAATATGTTATAGTTTTTTTTATACAAATGAATTTTGAATTTGCAATATTTGAATTTACTTTTGAATTTACAAAGTAATTACAGAGCAGTAATACAGTTGACTCTTGATATCTTGATCTCTCAGGGGACTGGGAAAAAAGTTCGAGATATTAAGAGAATTTTGGCTAAAATGAGTGTGTAAGAGACCAGAAATGAAGTTTGAGATATTGAGTAATCGAGATATCGAGTCAACTGTAATGAACAATTTTAAAATGTAAACCTGCTTTATGCTCAGACTGGAGACAGCAAAAATCATTTGTGGATTTTCGCAAATATCTGATGGTCTATTGTAAAAAAATAAAAAGAAATTTTGAGTTTATACATTTCTAAATTATTTTTAGACATAAAATACTTTAACATTCATATTTGCAAAGAAAATACAAAACAAGAAAGATTTATAAAATTTATTATAAAAAGTAATATCAAATCAAGATGAGTTTTCAATCAAAACAAGATGGGTTTTCAATCAAATCAAGATGGGTTTTCAATCAAAACAAGATGGGTTTTCAATCAAATCAAGATGGGTTTTCAATCAAAACAAGATGGGTTTTCAATCAAAACAGGATGGGTTTTCGATCAAATCAAGATGGGTTTTCAATCAAAACAAGATGGGTTTAAGAAATGTTACACTTAATTTTATTTTTACTTAGCATAAGACACTAAAATTTATTGTCTGGATTGAAATTTATTGTGAGGATTAAAACTTTCAAGCCTTAACTGATGACTTTATATTACAAAAAAATAACAATTTTATTGCTTATATAATAATATGGAGATTTTATTGTTTACTCAAGTTAAATATTTCCTTCTTAAAAATAAAATAAAATATTTCTATACAAACTTTATAATTATAATCTATAAAATTACCTGACCCATGATATGAATCTTGACTGTTGCTTTGGTGCCAGTGTAAGAAGTCCATTAGGATCTCTGAAAAAATAATTTTTTTCAAAATAGTTATCATTTGTTATAAACGACAATAAAAATCATTATATCTAGACAATAAGCATTACTATTTTGCCAAACCTTGTCCTATCCCAACAACTTTTATGCTGTATTTATAATAAAAAATTTTCTATTGCAGAGTTTTTTATGATAGTGGTATTTTTTTATGATAGTGGTATAATGATTGTACTAGCAAAGTAAGCAAGATGTACCTCATTTGATGCCCACTGTGCCCCTGGTAGTAACACATTCAACTTGTTAGTACACCTTATTTGTCATTTGATGCCCACTGTGCCCCTGGTAGTAACACATTCAACTTGTTAGTACACCTTATTTGTCATTCATATTTCAAAGTTATAAAGATGAGAGCTTTTTGATTTTTTTTTTTTTTAAATTTGCAGCAGACCTCTTTGCTTGAGGAGTAAATATTTAAAAAAATAACAACTTAACGTATATAACTTAATATTTAAAAAAAATAACAACTTAACGTATATAACTTAATTTTAATGCTGTTTTTTTTTTGGGCCTGTTACTATTATATAAAATAAAATGTTTTAATACCAATGAGCTTCAAAAAAGTTGTTAATAATACAGTTTTTTTCTAATTTTCAGTGCTTAAAGCCTACATTAATACTCTTCATGATTTATTTACAAAAGAATATGTTAAATTTTCAAAATAATTTTTTTTTAAAAAACTTATTTATCTAGGAACAGCTACAAGCAACCACTACCAAATAAATCATTTATTTATAAAGTTTATTATAAAAAAATAAAAAATATAAATTCATACGAAAAAGGAATTTTGTAAGCAAATTGTTCATTTATATCAATATCAAGCATTGGATGATAAACATTTCCATTAACATAAGAAGTAAGCCTAAAATATAGTAGTATAAAACAATTTAAGAATATTAAAAGCAATCAATCATATATTAAACAAATTAAGAAAATTTTATCAAATAACTTAGGAAAACTTTAAATTTAAATTAGAATTTATTAGCAGATATATTTCAGCATCATTTGATAAAAACAATAATAAGATATGAAACCTAAACATAATTACCTTATTCCTTTTTTTGAAAATTTTTGAACTTTGCTTAAAAGAGAAAGGGTATCATTAGACTAACCAGCCCAATAATGAAAACAGAAATCCATACAGGGACAAATAAGAGATTTGTAGATGTAGAGGATGGAATTGGGAGAAAAGCCATGTTGAGCCTGAAAAAGAGAGACAACCTTAGCAGATACTAACTTTGTAATGGATTCCATGAGAGGTCATTAATGAATGATAATCAGAGAACACATAAAGTACACAACATAGTAAGGGTGTTGCCTTTCATCAATATTGGAATATTAACAATAATGCGATAATAATATTAGCAGTAAATAATTTAGTGTAGGTTAAAATTTAGAAGCTTTTGCAATCCCTAAGCTGTCACAGAAAAAATTTTTTAGATTCAATATATGCTGCTTGTCTTAAACAATCAAAATAGACAAATACAGATGAATGTACTCCTAACCAAGACTGAAGACCACTATCATATTATGGATAATGATGAATAATTTAAAAAAAAAAATCTTTAGATTTAGTTTTTGCTAGTACGAACTTTTTATGAATTGATAAGAATAATTACCATAAAAAATATTTCATAGAAAAAGCATTTTAATCTGTTTGGTAAAAGAAGTTTTTAATCTATTAGGTATAAAAAAAATTCAATATGTAAGGTATAAAAAATATTTAATATGTTAGTTATAAAAAACTTTTAATCTGATTGATATTTAAAAAAAAGAGTAGCTGTGGGCTTTGGGGCCATAGAAAGGTGAATTTATCAACAACAAAAAATGTATTAAAAAACTTAATATAGACTAACAATTTAGATTAAAAAATCCATACCGCAAAGTTTCTATTTCACTTGGTGATAGTTTCTTTTTATTAAAACTTTTTTGAGAATTCATTAAGTTCCCAAAAGTAGTTTTGGTTAAAACATCTTGTTTGCTTGTTAGAACATCAGCTTTGCTATTTTTAATTAGTTCAGCTCTAAACAAAATATTTCTTTAAATTCATTAGAATAAATATTCTGGAATACAAACATTATCTGAAAATAAAAACAACTTAATTCAAATTAATATTTTAATTAGGATTTATTAACAGTAATGAGGCAATTGCTTGGACTATTAAATAGTGTAATGAGTACTATCTATGCTTTGAGTCAAGTTCTTTAACAATTTTAAAATGACTAAAGTACCAAAAACTATCAAACACGAAAAATCATTGTCATCACCAAATTCTTTTAACCAATCATTCACTAATATTAGTGGTCTTTGAAGTAACTTTTCTTCTGTTGAGTCTTATCTCTTGAAATGTTCACCAAACCTACTTGCTCTTTGAGAGACTAATTTGAGTTCAGCTGTCTCATCTTGTGATCTTAGTGTTGATAGTTATCTTCCTTTAAGTTGTAAAGACTCCAATAGTCACATGCTTGGCCTGGGCATTTATATTTGTAAGAATTCATCTATTTGTCAGGAAACTAGGTTTGAATCCACAGACTATTCTATAATGTGCTTTCGTTTAGCACCACTACACTTTAATGCCTTTCTCTTTGTTCTATATCGCTCTCCTTCATCTCAAGACTGCACTCTTTTCGATGTTGTTTCTGATCTAATTGACCCTCTCTCTTTATCCATCAGGCACTATCATTGTTGTTGGTGACTTTAATGCTCATCAAACTGAATGGCTTGGCTCTAGTGTCAGTGACTCTGCTGGCCTTTCTCAATCTCTAACTCAAATAGTCAATTTTCCAACTCACTTTTCAGACAACCTGGATCATTTACCTTTTCTACTCAACCTATGTCTTGTTTCTGATCCTAGTCAATGCTCAGTTTCTGAACATTTACCCTTATCACAGTTTGATCTCTCTAAAACTATCATTTCATACTTCTTCAGCATCAGAATCCCCCAATCATCGTACCTCTTACAACTACATTAAAGCTGACTAGAACTCTTACCATAACTTTGTTCATGATGGCCCTTGGGTAGAAATCTTTCATCTTCCTGCTGATAAATGTGCATCTTACATAACTTCTTCCTAGATTCAGGCTGGCATGAAATCTTTTATTGCCTCTCAACAATTCCAAGTCAAGCCTCAATCTTTTCCATGGTTTTTCACACATTCTGCTGTAATTTCCAATCGAAACCATTACTTCAATATCTATCAGCAAAACAATTCTCTAGAAAACAGACATCTGTTTACTTTTGCTAGAAACAATTGTAAAAAGATTTTGTCATGCGCCAAAGTCCACTATCCTCAGGTCATGAAATCTCGTATTTTATCTCAAAAATTAGGCTTTCGTGACTTCTGGAGAATCTTTATCAGTGTCTTTGATAAGGGATAAATCTGCTATTCCTCTTCTCTTGCATGGTTCAAATTTTGTAACCTCACCAAAACACAAAGCTGAATTATTTGCATAGAATATTTCATCAATCTAACCTCTTGATTCCACTAATCACATCTAAACTAATATAATTGACAAACAAGTTAATTTATTACTAGACATCTGTATCATTCCAGCTACTGTATCTAAAGTGATTTCCTGCTTAGACTCTTCTACAGCTTGTGGTTCGGACAAAATACCTGCTAGAGTCTTGCAGAAGTGTTCTTGGGAGCTGTTGTCTATAGTTTCAAAACTATTTAACAAGTGCTTATCAGAGTCTTGTTATCTGACATGCTGGAAAGTGGCTTCTGTTATCCATATTTTCAAAAATTCTAGAGAGCGATCTGTTTCGTCAACTACCGTAACATTAGTCTTCTTCCTATTATAAGCAAGGTTTTTGAGTCTTTAATTAACAAACACTTAATCTCTCATCTTGAATCTAATAACTTATTTTCTGATCATCAATACGGATTTCGATCTTCTCATTCCACAGCTGATTTGTTAATAGCAATAATCAATAGGTTTTATTGTGCATTAGATAGAAGTGGAGAGGTTAAGGCTATTGCTCTTGACATTTCTAATGCTTTTGATAAAGTTTGGCATGCTGGTCTTCTCCATAAGTTTTCTTCTTACTGCATATCAGGTAACATCTTTAAGATTATTGAATCCTTCCTTTCCAATCGTAGTATAAAAGTTGTTCTTGACGGACAGCACTCTTCTTCATATACTGTAACTTCAGGGGTTCCTCAAGGTTCAGTCCTTGGCCCTATACTTTTTTTAATTTAGATAAACAATCTTCCAGATATGTTTGAAGCTCTTAATACTAGTCTTTTTGAGTGGGGCATAGCAATCCAAAATCGATGTTGTATCAGTAATAAATTTATGGAAACAAAAGTTAGTGTCACTGTTTTTTATAACATCATCCCAATCACACTTTAATAAGTCAGATTTAAATTTTTCTTTATCAAGGTTTTTAAATTTTTACGATATATTTTGTGATTCCGTGTTATAAATAATTTGTTGAAATTGGGACAAATACAAAAATGAGGTAGGTGATCAGAGACAGAAGTTGTCAAATTTCCAGAAATAATATCATTAGTTATTAAATTAGAAAAAATATTGTCTAAGATTGTAGCAGAGTGTTCAGTATTTCTTGTTGGCAAATTAATAAAAGGGTGAATATTATAAATAGAAAGTAAGTTTAAAAAATCACAGGTCGCAATGTCATTACCTGATTGTATCAAATCTATATTAAAATCATCCAATAAAAAAACAGATTTATTTTCTGCAGATATTTTTAGAAGTAACGCATATTGTTTCTTTTTTAAATTTTTATTGTATTTAGGTATATTAATATTTTAACAAATAAAACATTACCTTTCAACAGCCATTTTAGCCCATTGATTACATTTACTTTTGATATGCTCATCGGATGTTTCTTTGCACTAAAATAATTTAACTCAATAACACATTTTTTCTCAGATAAAAATATTTATGTAATTTATTGATTTATTAAATGAGAATGCAAACATTTTGTTTAAATGTCTCTATTATCTACCTTTTGAAACTTATATTTTGCAAGTTAGAAAAAATATTTCTTTGACACCTTTCTTAAAATATATAAAAAGAACTAAAAATATAATAATAAACTAAATTAAATAAAAGAAAATTATTCAATTCTATTGATAAAAATAGTTAGTAACTTGATTGTTACTTGATTTATTCCTATTTACCAGATTTGTTTCAGGTTTATTATATCATTTAAAGTTGTTTAATTTTAGGTTCAAAAATCTATAAAATAATTTGAAAAATTTATCATTTATTATCTCAAAATATTGAAAATTAGAAAGTGAAAAAAATATTAGAAATAAGATAATAATCATTTTGAAATTAGAAAGAGAAAATAAAAACTTTTAAATATGCGTATCACAAAACAAAAAATCTTTTTAAAAACCCATTATTTGATTATTTAAAAAAATATATTTTAACAAGAATAATACCATTAATTTAATACCAAAATGCAAATCAATAGTTGAAATTTAAAAATAAGCTATAATAGGTTCACCCAAAACATACCATTTTAAGACAAGATTCAACAACATCAGTATACAAAGGTAATGCATTGAATTGTTTTCCATTTTCATCTTCTGTAAGAGCTTGTGATAAAACAAACTGAATTTGTTCAAAACTTTTCTAAAAATAAAATATTTTTCTCTTAATTACACTTATTATAATTAATAATAATGTATAATTATTATTATTATTGTTATTACTATTATTATTATTATTATTATTATTATTATTATTATTATTATTATTATTATTATTATTATTATTATTATTATTATTATTGATTACACTTATTTACATTAAATAGAAAAAATATGAAAATTAAGTTGTATAAATCAAGACTAAAAATCTTTAAAAATTTTAAATTTATAATACGTGACTTAAATAAGGCTAAAAATATTTTACAAAAAATAAGTTGTATACTTTAAAATTAATTGATAGAGCTTGAAAGAATTATAAAGGATTATAAAGAACATGTTCTAAAGCACTGATAAACCATGATAGTACTTGCAGAAAAGAGAGAGACACAACGTTAAGACAATGTGATGGATGCTAGAGTTGTTCTTGTTCAAGCTAGGCATTTAGAGCAGGAACAACAATTACATTTACAATACATTTTTGGACCTTGTCTAGAAGAGAAAAGACATCATTAGAAGGTAGTTAAATAATGACAACAGTATTCCATACAGAGACAAATAAGAGATTTGTTGTAGTAGAGAAGGGAGTAAGGAGTAAGGAAATGGTTTCTATGAGAGGTCAGCATTGAATGAAAATCAAGAAGACAAACAAGAAGACATAAAGTAAATGACTCAGTAACAGTGTTGCAATTCATCAACATAGGAATAACGATAATATAGTGATAATTGTTTGCAGTAAATAACTCTTTTAGTTTTGTTTGAATTAAAAGTTAAAATCGCATGATTATGTTGACTATTTAAACTCTTCTTACCAAAAGAACACAGATGTTTGTTGTGAAGCAGTGCATTAGTAAAAAAAAACAGACTTTATTTCCAACTCCAACTTCATAAGGATACAGGAGGTCCTAATAACCTACAGATTATTATGAACAGGGGTCCTGTGACAGTCAGAGACACAGACAGACAGTGTTTGGTCCTTATGGAGTTTGACAAGGATCTTACGGATACAGAAGGTTATTAGGACCTGTAAAGTAAATTGGTCTAGAATTTTTTCTCAAAGAAATTTTTTTTTTTTTTTCTTCAAAAGTGTTAAATGCAAACTAATTAATTATATAAAAATATTGAAACATAAGTCTCTCCATTGATTAAAATGTGATAAATATTAGAGCTTAGTCTCAGACCACAACATTTTACTTTAATTTCTTGCAAAAATAAAAAGACAATTGTTCTCAAAGGAATAGTTCTTGTAAAAAAATAAAAAAATAATATTAAATTATTAAATATGTTATTATTACATATATAGAATATATAAATAGAAAATGTGAATAGAAAATTAGAATTAAAAAATAAAGACACTTGTTCTCAAAAGAATTGTTCTTATGAAAAAAATGAAAAAATGTATTACATTATTAATTAAATATGTTATTATTATATAAATAGAGTTAAAAAACTGAAACTTGATAGAATTTCAAGTAGTGTTTTAAACATTAAGATTTCATAAAAATGTAAAATTTCTTTCACTTTTTATTTGTAATATATTCTGTTTTAGTAATTAAAATAAATGTTCATTTTTTTAAACTTTTATTTCTTTTAAATTAAAAATGTTTGTGTTGCTTAAAAAGGATAAAGTATGCAAGTTTAATAGTTTTTAAAAAAAGAATTTTTTACGCCATAATATAAAAATCTAATAATTTAAACCAATGATAATATTGTATAAGGATACATTTCAAAATAAATTCAACTTAAGAACAACAACAACAACAAAATTAAACCAAGAACTGGTTACTAAAAAATGCTGAAATAATAATTATCGTTATTTAACAAAATTTAAAATTTTAATGTTAACAATGCCATTAAGTTATTAGTTCAAAACAATTTTAAAACAAAAGAATTAAACAAAAGTTACTTTTCAAAACAAGATCGATAAAAAATATTGGTAAAAAAAGTGATTCATTATACGGTTTATATATAAAAATTTATAAACACTGTCACTATCAATATGCAATGCTAAACATTGCTCTTGATGACATGTTGAGCATGCATAATCAAACTTGTTGGCAGCAAACTTTGATTTTACAAGTCAAATTACCAAAAATTCTGTTTATGATAAATACTAACATTTCCAGCGCCACCTCAAAATTTTGGTGCAACAAAACAATTATTCTACTTTTCAGATTTTAAATCTATTAGCAAGCAAATTTGTCTATTTTAAAGTTACTTTTATCACTGAAAATTACTTGCTTTGAGTTTTTACAAGACCACTCAATTGTTAGCTTACACCATCTTAATGTTGTAACCCAATCTCTGGCCACCAGCATGGGTTTTCAAAAAGCTGCATAAACACCAATATTTTTCTTAAGCAAATTGTTTTAGCTGTATTTGAAGAAAGGCATTTTTCACAGTTTTACTATAATAATAGTAATAATAATAATAATAATAGTAAAAATAATAGACAAATAATAAACATGGTGATTTGTTTTTTCTCCTGATTTAACAAAACTTTTTTATGTTTTTAAATGTTTACCTGCTGAGGGCATTGTGAACTTAACTTTGAATGTTTTTGATTAGCTAAAAAAAAAAACAGTAAATTTTTGAATTTTAATAATCATTAAAAAATTAAACTACATTTTTCAATACTACATATTTCATGCAATACCACCATTTGCAAACCCATCACAAAAGTAATGAAGTGAAAAAATAATGAATTCTAAATATAATGTAAATGCTGCAACTTGCGCATTTTTTGATGGGTGATTTACAAGAGAGAGATTTTAACAAATCTTCCAACTGTCCAGTTGTGTGAATTAAAAATACAGAATTAAGACAACTGACAATTGTGTATAGCAATAAAAATTTATCAGGAAAAGTTAATTTTTTGCATTGTGTAATTATGTTGACTATTTGAATTCTTATTACCAAAAGAACACAAGAAATTGAAGCATTGTATTTGTATATGAATTCTTATTACCAAAAGAACACAGTTGTGAGTTGTGAAACAGTGTATTTGTAGAAAAAACCTGAATAGAGAATATATGTATAGACAATTCTGCACCTTGTGTAAATGAAAATGCAATAAAGAATATACTGTTTTAACTCACTTGAAAAAGTTGCTTTCCCAAAAACATTTTATGCCATAAATCTTACATACAAATCAAATCATTAAATTGTTATCAATTTAGATATGAAGACTGGGTTTTATTTCGTGAGAAAATGTCAAAGTAAGATGTGTGTCGAAAAGAGATTGGTATTTAGTTGCAGAAAACAATTTCCATTCTCCCCACTATTATTACAAATAATTCATGTCAGCCTGTTTTTGAGATCTTGAATTTTACTGGTACAGTTGATTATCAGTCATTCTGTATTTGCTAGTTCTAATAAGATGCATTTTGTTCAAATGCCATATCATATTTTTAGCCTATTTATATAACATATAATATGTGATATAATAATAAAAATAATATACAGTGCAGTAGATTATAAATAGCCTCTATAATCAAATGTTTATTTTTTTTTTAATTATTATTGTTTTAAAACTAACTCACTAGCAACAAGGTTAAAAACAACCATCATTAAAGTAAAAGCCATCATTTAAGTAAAAGCCATTATTCAAGTAAAAGCAACCATCATTTAAGTAAAAGCCATCATTTAAGTAAAAGCCATCATTTAAGTAAAAACCATCATTTAAGTAAAAGCCATCATTTAAGTAAAAGTCATCATTTAAGTAAAAGCAACCATCATTTAAGTAAAAGCAACCATCATTTAAGTAAAAGGTTAGCAGAAAACAAAGATTTTTGTTAATAAACAAGAAAATGGTTAACAGAAGATTTAAAAACTTCATACTAATAAGACAGGAAAACATAGTGAGTTCCAAACCATTATTGTACAAAAAAAGAAGCAAAATGAATAAAAGTTTTTGAGCATGAATAAACAGACACAGTAAATAAATTCAATTCTTTTGAATGATGAGACAATTGAGAATGAATTTTAGTTGATGGAACTAAAGAGGACCATGAGTATTTGAAAAAAATGAAGCATTGTAGGGAAAGCATAGTTGCTCAATCTTGGCAGCTAAAGTCCAACTACAACTATTTCCAACTACATTTGTCTAGAATTAAAATCATTAAAGAACCAGCTCAATAATGACAAGATTATTAGATGAAAGGCTTTGATATGATAAGATCAATAGCTACCTTCATCCAATGCATGAGAGAACTTTTCTGTTAGACTGATCAGACAACTAGACTGATTAGAAGGGTTGAATATTCTCCAGAGCTTTTAAAATCGAAACCACAAATGCCATTTTCCATCAGATAGTAAAACAAGATTCTGTTAAGCTCAAATAGTTTAGAGATTATCAAAGCAAGTTCTTGGTACTGGGTTTGGGTACTGAGTTCTGGGTACTGGGTTTGGGTACTGAGTTCTGGTTACTGGGTTTGGGTACTGAGTTCTAAGTGGGTACTTTATAAAAAAATATTTAGCACCAAGCAAAAAGAAAATCTTTATTTTTATTTTAAACAGTATAATTGAACAACATATCTGCAAAACTCCATTATCTATATGTTGCTAGATATTCCATGCCAAACAATGGCACAGTAAATTCTACTTTTTTAAAAGGGGGACGAATATTAATAATGCATGCTTTTATGGAAGAAGTTTAAATTTTAATGCAATATTGCTCAACTTTGATGAACTTAATGCATTATTTTTCTAGTTATTGCATTTCAACACAAAATAATTCAGTTTTTTTTTTACAAAATACCCATCCATGGCTACAACAGGCTACTTTAACATCAAATAAATTCTATCAAGAAATCTTTCCTGGTTTAAAAATAGCTAATAATCACTGACGGCCAAATGAATGTAGTGGTAATTAATACAACTTGTCGATTAAAAACATATCCAGACTTTTTTCTCCAATATTTCCACAAGGTTATATATATTTTTCAGGAGATAATTGATCTATAAATGTTCTTTATAATCTTAAAGAACTGGCCTGTCACTTTGCCATATAAACGGAACACTCTTTGGCTTGTTTTATCCCACTTACACTGCTTTCAGTTTACTGTTTTGATTATTGTTTTTAGTCTATAGTTTAGTGGTGAAATCATACATCATCAAATAAATTATTTAATATCAAATAAATAAAAAAATTTAAAAAAAAAAAAAAATTTGGCAAAGAACAACCAAAACAAGTTTGAGAAATACATTTTTAAACAATTGGAAAGATTATAACAAATAATTTCCAAAATAATTTCATGAACAAAATAAAGCTAAAAATTTTATACCCCTTATTATTATTAATTAAGTTCTGATTTGTTTTAAACATTTGGTCTTGGTACATATTGTAAAATTTTGTTGATCTTTTAATGATAATGTGAATGTAAACAATGTACTAGTATTGAAAACTATTGTTTCAAATTTCACGATACTTTAAACTAATTTTGAAGAATTAAATAGAAGTAAATAAAGCAAAATACTGATTTATTTTATATTTGTTTTTCAAGTTTTAATAAAAAATTTAATTTTCAAACAAAAACTTTGCCTTGTTGGCTGAAGATAAGTACAGGCATATACTGACAATTTTTGATATTTAGCTGAACAAAACCAAACGCACTATCTACTGGAAGATAGAAATGCCCTTGGTTGAGGAAGTTATAAGTGATGAAGCAGATTTTTAAAATATTGTTTTTTCAATGAAAAAATGTTTACTTCTTGTGTTCTTGTTTTACCCATAGTAGGAGTATGAAAGTAGACAAAGATTGAAACATGCATCAAACAGATTTATAGTTAAAAAATGTTGTATTGCAGAACAAATCATATCAGAATCTTTGCTGCTTTCACATTCCAGTCAAGTAAAAAATAAATGCAATTTAATTATATCCAGTTGTCTGGATATAATTAAATAAGGCTGTTTTGAAGGATCACTCAGATTTATGGTTTTTACTAAAGGTTTAAATTAATGGTAGGTTGAACATATCAGTAGCAGGATGACCAAAACCAAAATTTCTCCCATAGTGACTTTAATGCAGCATCACTTATCTGCATAGGTCTTCAATTTTCTGTTTTCTCTTATCTAAGCAGGTCATTAATTTTCTGCTATCTTCTTTTTTCAAGTCTGATTGTCCCATACTGAAACCAGTAGTTTTATTGTGCATATGATAAAGGTGAAGAGGTTAAAGCTATCGCTTTTGACATTTCTAAAGCATATGAAAAAGTTTAGCATGCTGGTCTTCTATATAAACTTTCTTCTTACGGTGTATCTGGAAACATCTTTAACATTTTTGAATCCTTCCTTTCCAATCGTAGTATAAAAGTTGTCCTTGATGGACAGCACTCCTCTTCTTATATTTTTACTTCAAGGGTTCCTCAAGGTTTAATTCTTGGCCCTATACTCTTTTTAATTTACATTAACGATCTTCCAGATATTCTCACATCTAAGTTGGCATTGTTTGCTGATGCTACTACCATTTATTCTTGTCATGATAAGAAGCCAACACTCTCTGATTGCTTGGAGGGGGGTATTTGAGCTTGAAAAGGATCTCACTTCTGCTACAGCACGGGGCTCACAGTGGGTGGTGAAATTTAATTCAGATAAATCTCTTTTTAAAAATTTATTTTAGCTAATCGTTATCACAATAATTTAGACCTTCCTATATTTATGAACGGTAATGTATTCGATGAGTCATCTACCCTTCATATTCTAGGATTAACTCTTACTTCCGATCTTTCTTAGAAACCATATATCAAATCCGTTGCAAAATTAGCATCTGCTAAAATTATATCTCTTTATTGAGTTTGACACTTTCTTATTCCAGATTCTATTCTCTATCTATAAATCTCTATAAATCTCAAATCCCGCCTTGTATGGAATACTGTTGCCATATCTGGGGCGGATCTTCTAAAGGTACCCTTTCTCTTTTGGACAAGGCGCAAAAACGCATTGTAAACATAGTTCTCAACCTGCTTATGCAGCCAACTTTCAACCATTATCACATTATCGTAATGTTGCTTCTCTTTCTCTTTTCTACAAATACTATAATGGGCACTGCTCTAAAGAGCTAGCATCTCTTGTGCCAATTACTATAATTTATTCTTGTGTTACTCATCATTCGATTAAGTCTTTTCTTTTTTCTGTGACGGTTCCTAAGTGCTCCAAAAACTTTTATTCGTCTAGCTTTTTTCCTCAAACATCAGTTCTTTGGAATTCGCTTCCTTTATCTTGCTTTCCTGATTCATATAATTTGCAATTGTTTAAGTCATCTGTCAATCGTTATCTTGCTCAACAATCTTCATCTTTTCTCTTCCAATAACTTCCGACTCTAATTAGTGGTTGCATATGTTTTAAAATATATATATATATATATTTTCACACCGCGTGAATATTTATCAGACTAAAAGGAGTAGAATAAACGGTGTCATATTTACAGAATGCAGAACAAAACATTGTTTAAATGTAAATTAATACTTGTAAATTAATTCCATTGTTGTTTAAGAGGTACTTTGTAGCATCATCCTCTTGCTTCTTGAAAACAGTGTCCACAGCATCTTGAACAATGTCTACAGCTCCT